GACTCGTACTGCTTCTTCTCTTTTTCCACTCTAGACAAAAGATCACTGTTGACAGTAATTCGGTCATCTTTTCGAGGAGTATCCCGCAGCGTGCTTGACATGGAGGCAGTCGCGGAGGAGGTGTTAGACTTAAGGACAGACGAGGTGCTATTATGCGGTGTGCTTCTACTCGACAGTTTTGTGTTCAAAGAGGAGAGAGTGCTTGAGCTGTGGTGATGTCTCGGAACAGCAGGCACTTTACGATTTTTTTCACGGCTCGATGCCCGAGAGTCCTGAGAGCTCTGAGAAGTTGAGCGTGAATCCTTGATGTTCTGGCAACTTAAAGACTTAAAGAGGCTACTTGTTCGTGGAACTGAAGATGAGGTTGGGCGAACAAAAGGATTGTCTGCTTGATGTGCAGCCTTCGGTGGCAATTTGATTGCAGAGGACTTGGATAAATGTCCAGGAACTGAACGCGTGGCGGCCTTTGCGCCGGAATGCATGGTCCACTTATTGTGAGTACCAATGGACTGACTATCAGAAAAAAGAGACGCTGGGTTTAGTTTAAGCAGAATGAAAAATAATGAACCAGAAATAGAAACGCTTTGACACGTAGTCAATCGTCAATCCATTAAGATAAAAACTGTATGATGGAGGTGCGTCAGGACATGTCAAGTATAATTATGGATAACGATGGCACAATTCTGTCATCTACGGCCGGTAGGGGAGTGTTTGGCATTCCCAGATGGAGCAGTGCTCGCAAGATCAAGTTACAGGACCTCGAGTATTGGTAAAATAGGAAAAAACTAGAGACGTTAGGAGACCCCGCATAAATACGGAGAAATCTGACCAAAAAGATCTTTGAAGCCAACGAAATCAACAATGACCGTAATAAACATTCGGAAGAAAAAAGTGGTAACACGTCTCAAAATGAGCCTGTTAGCGTAGTGGAAATCTAAAAACGGCGTACTTATGAGGGAACTCGTGTGTCAGTCCCAGCGTTCAAAAGTTAAGAAGCATTTTCGATGCATGTGGGAGTTCACCTACCCCGCATAAACCTGTCTTGATTCAAATATCACATTTGAAATTAATAATAAATGTATATTAGATGGTGGCGCATTACTAGTCAACATTTAAAGCTTTTTGGAAATTAAAAATATTTAAGGACACGGCCAACTATTCATTTTATAGTTGTATATTTTTCCAGTGACCTCCGATCCGACATTGACTGTGCTTCGTTTATTTAACGTGGAAGACATGCTACGAAGCTCTCTTCTTAACGATTGCTGTGTGAGTGCTAAGTGATGATGCACCAGTTTGCAATACTCCCACGCTTCCACGTTCTGTCCTATATTTTGAAGCCATTTTTAGATTATCTAACAATCTCTCACGAGAACTGAATCAGTAGGCACATCCGTACACCTGCATTAGAGTAAGCATTTAAAAACTGCAGCCAATTTTTATTGTATATAGGTTTAGTTGTTCTTAAGAAAAACATTGGAAGCATTTTATGCTTCGCTCTAGAGTAATTCGTTGTCTTGTTCGCCTACAGTCATGCAAGGAGTGTGTGCCGTACACGAAGCGCTTGCTGGAAATATTTATTGAGAATCATGAAAAACGTTATGAGTTGACCCAAGTGTGAAAAACTCTAGGCGTTTGGCGGGATTTGAACC